CACTACATGCATCATCGTCTTCTTCATCATCTGTTTCTGGTTGGAAATACGATGTGTCAGTCTCACTGCGTAAATGCGGTTGAAATGGCGCACGACATGCACGTATATTAGACCATGTCCAATCAGCAATTGATATATCCATAGAATCCAAATGCCCATCCGTCTGTGTGACTGGATCCAGTCAGCTGAAAACCAGGGATGGTTATATACCTCGGATAAACAGTGAGCTTGACTCCCTAGTCTTTCAGTGCGATCACAAAGAAGACCTAGGGCAGAATTGGAAATATATCAATTCAAGGCATAGATTTTGTGGCAAAAAAACAGACAGTTTATTGAAAAATGTGGTGCTGTTGACAGTGTTATATCCAATGACATCTGCATCACATGACTCGCCTTTTTAGTGTCATAAAATCAACAAGAAAAGGTACCAGTTAGCACTATCTTGCAAAATATATCATTCGAACGTTTGACACATTGCTGAAAAGTCAACTTTTTAGACCAATGAGCCACAGATGAACAAGATATGTGAAGACAGACAGGCAAATAGCAATAAGAAGCTAACGATTAAAAGATGATAGAGTTTATACATATAAACCATTGGGGTCGATTTGAGATGTTACTTGCCATGAACTAATATCCATTTCAAACATTTTAGGGATTTGGTTAAATGACTGGTAATCTCCTACGTAACCCGGACCAACAGACAGCGATTTCATCTCATTAGTCTTAGCATTTCTCTAAATTAAACCTATTTCCTTCATCTCCGAACATAACGATAGATCATGGCTGATATTCTGTGGAAAATGGTCTGACTAATTTATCAGTGAAGCTTGACAAGCTCATCAATCAAATTAACATCCTTGCCTGTAAAGTTGCATCTGCAGTTAGTGTTGCTCAATCAGTAGAGACATCACGAGCCAGGTATGCTTAGGAGATGCATAATAGAATCCCTTTAACACCATTATGCCTTCTACTTTCAACGAAAATATGTTTCAGTAGCAGAAGAGCACACAGAAAACTGTAGGGATTTACAGATACGCTTTAACAGGTAGTTAGATATTTAACTTACCCCTTAGATGGTGAAAGTCACTAAAGTATAAGGCATATTCATGTACTTGTTTAAAGATGCAACCACCAAACTAACTTACACAGGATATGCAATATCAAAAAGAGATGAAACCGTAAATGTATCTCAACACCTTAATCTGCACGCTTTAACTAGATTCCTGAATGAACAAATCTTGAAGCATCTCATTTTAAATGTTCAGATGGCATCAAATGCCTGTATTCTTGTGGAATGTAAAGATCCAATCGATGGAGTTTCAGATCCATGGTAAACTGCTGAGAACTAAGGAACAGTACATAAATGTTTCATAGCTTCACTACAGTGCACTGAACCTACTCTCACGAAAAATGCATCAATAACACTTCAAGATAGGAATCTTAAAGTTTTATTAAAAATCTACGGTCTTTCAATCCCATTGATGGAGAAGGATAGATGTACTTGCTTTAAACTTTCGATAAAATATCTCAGTGAAAAACTGAAGTCAGAAAAATGCTGACATGAAATCCCTCCTACTAACTTGATGGCAACAAGTAAATCTGAAGGTTTTAGCTGGAATATGGAAAGAGAACGACGTAACACTACTTGATAAAAGACGATTCAGAGAAATAAATTCTACAAAAACCAAATAGTTTTTCGATTGATACCATCTAAAATGAAGTTAAGCATCAAAGTAATGATAGAACGGTAAGAAAAAACACACCTGCCATCAGTTTTACTGCAAATAACGTTACCAGCAATTCTGTCTTTTGGGCAGTAAAGTATACACAAAATATGTGAACTTTCGTACTGAATTACGGACTGCGTGTTGAACTTTGATGCACAAGAAAAACTCATTGTATCAAAGGTATGGTATACACATAAATATATTTTATTCATGTGATCGAAGCTTTAGGGTGCACTCTTAAATCATCAACTGAACTATAAAGGATCAGCTGATTAGTGACAATACTAACCAATAAGTACAAAAAACCAAAATAGAAGACAGAGTAAAAATGTGGACCAGAATCAGTGAAAATATCCTATATATATATATATATATATATATATATATATATATATATATATATATATATATATATATATATATATATATATATATATATATATATAGATGCAAAATACTAACAATTTATATGATTTTCAAGGTCTCTATTTTCTCATGGAGATAAAATTTGCATACAATTATCATACCAGTGCTAGAGAGACAGAGGGATGATATTATAAAGAACAGTTCGACTACAAGTTAGGTATATTCTGTTGTAAAGTTGTTTAACGCCAGAACAAGAAGCTCATTTATGGTTTGAACACCTGAGGTACTTATAGTATTTATCGGAGGCAATCCGAATGACAGCAAATACATGCATATTGAGTGAAGAAAAACAGAAGTGCTATATGCATTGACTACATTTCCCCACCAAATATCTAGTCATTGATGCGAACCCTAATAAAACCTTTTCAATTTAAGTAGCCCCTTAAAGTAAAAGTTTTCATATCTGAAGTCCGATGAGAAAGAATTATAGGGAGCCAATAATGTAACACTTTGATGAAATATACCATTCTGTTCAGTATCTACTGTCATAAGTTCTTCGGAACTAATCAATGGAACCTGACCCTTAGGCTTTTATCAGAGATCCATACTCACATTATTCAGTATCCCAGATAACAACGTTGCAGGAAAAGCACATGGGTAATTAATTAATTAGTAAATAAGTGAAAATACAATTAAATCGTAAGAAAAAATGAAATGTTTAGGAAACAGTAGATAAATAAATAAAAAAATCTTACGAAAGTAAGCAACATTCATGTATATCAAAAAACAACGTATTCTGAAAAGAAAATAGATTAAGTCCCCTCCCTCGACTCGTCATTCCATCTAGTCGATGATGTCAGACATGAATTCATCCTTTATTCTTGTATCTGAACGGGTTACGAAGACCCATGTATTTATATCATGAGTATCATGAATACTCTGACGACAATAGATTAAAACAAACCCTACAAGGTTGTACCAAACAGACAACTAGTTGTTTTTTCGTAAATATCTAGATCAACAGAGTTTTTCACTATGAACAAGCAGTTTCCTCTTTTACTGAATGAATTAACATCTACTCGTCTTTCATATCATCCTTTTTTCTGACTGCCAACAAATAGAGGCGGGCACCAATATGCCAGGTTATTGTATTCTTCTTGTGAAACAGGGCTATATGAATAACAGTAAGATTTTCTCCCTCCTCCGCTTTGAGAAGGCACTGTAACCAAATGGTTTGGCTTTCCAACTACAAACCACTGAGTTATTTGTTTAAACCAATTCGGGTTGGGTAATCAGGTAGTTTTTAAAGGTCCTTACACATACTGAGTATGGTTTATAACCTAACGAATTGAATCGCATTTACCAACTTTGTGCACACTCATGCAGTATGCAAGGAGCTACACCTATTGCGTAGAGGTTAATGACACTAACTGGTTGCCCAAACTTTGATAGGTGGAGTGGTGTTTGAACCCGTGACCCACTAGTCGGAAGTCAATTGCTTGAACCAACCACCCACTTATAGCCTATCACACAAAACCACTGACCTGAACTGTGATTGTTTCAACATATAAAATATGACTACTATTTAAAAGAAATCAGTTATCAACTGACTGCTACTCATATAGGAATGACCAGTAATATAGTAATTTACTAAAAATAAGGAACATTTTCCGAAGAGCATATTATTTTAGATAACAGTCGATAATAACTACAAGGGCAGTGTGCAAAGTTTCCTATAGATCGTACAGCCGGTTGTACGACGACTCTAGTTATTGTAGATTAACAACATGAGTAGTTGTGAACTTGTCGCAACCACCTACAACACTATTCAAATATTGCATAAACTGAAATAAGAAAGCGTCAAAAGTCATCCTGCTGACTGATTAAATCCCGTAGATTTATCGATAAATTCAGATAACTGCAAAGTATCATAAAACAATGATAACCACTGCACAGATAGCCTTTCAGGAAATAACATCAATTTGCATGCTCAAGACTAGTCAACAATCTATAAAATAAGTAGGAATTAATACAAAAAGTGAGAAGGAAAAATTTAATGAGTAGTGAAAAATTAACCTGAAAATGAAAATATGGAAAACTCACTTTTCATAAAATTCAAACAAGCTTCAGAAACATTGACATTTTCAGGGAATTTTAGACTATTTACATGATTCATAATGTTTGCATATGTATTAACCAGCGTTTCTGAGTAGAACGGTGTAACACCATAAAGCATTTCATAAATAACGACGCCTAATGCCCACCAATCCACTTCGAATCCATAACTTCCACCACCAATGCCCTACAGAGAAACAAATAATAATAATAATAATTTCATATATGTATATCTATACACAATGACAGAGGAGGATGAACGAATAACAAAGTGTACACAGAAATGATGCATTATAATAAATAATTTCACGCCATTACATGAAAAACACAAACCAGTTGTTACAATAATTTTCCTCTTCCTGATTAAAATTCACAGATAGAATAACACAATTCAATTGGATAATTCGAATGGATTTCACTGTGCCATTCATCGTTAATGGATAGCACTTTTATTTTTCTCAGTACTGGACAACTACCATCAATCGTACTCTTGTTTTATAGAATGGGGATGTTAAACTTGAAAACAATAAGCTCTATTAAGAAGATTGAAGTGTTTAATAGGAATTAACTTGTGATAGATTGTAATTTATCTTGTGATATTAAAAGCAATAGTTGTGCTCTACAGAACCTGACCTACAGAAGTTATGACTTTAAATTGAAATCTCAAATAACTGTAATTTCATGTTAACTTTATCTTACAGATATTTGATGAGTGTATTTCAAGAATTACTGTATATCAGGGAAAATGAAATGTTTTCTTCAGCATAGTTACGCTTCATGCATGATAAGTGGCTGAAAATAAACATGAAATTGAAGAAGCCTTGCTGATTACGTCCAACCGACTAACACTCATCAAAGTGGACAGTGATGGTTAGCCTCCTAGCCTGATGACCACATTGCAGAATGGTCGATAAAATTCGATTAGTCCTCAGGAACAGATAATAGGAAATTCATCAATTAGTGTATCAGACCAAAGACATCAGCAGTTGAATACTTCATACGATCTACCCTCAGCAGGGGCTATAGCTTAGTGACTTCAAATGCTTGACTTCTAACCAGTAGAGCGACAGATTTGGATTCTGCTTCGCATAGCAAGCCAGTTAGTACGTGAAAGGTCTGATTCATACCTTAGAACACAAGCATATTTGTGACAGTTGATTTAGGCGTACATTTTTTTCTACTGTACCTACAACAGTCGTCTCTTTACTATGTAGTAGGATACTCATTTTACACATACTTAACGGTCTACATTACACAGCATGCAACACTTTCCATAACATATTTCAGTTAGTATGTCCCATTTACCGATTTCCTGAATATAGACCATTTAAAATATTATCACTATGTTATACTATAACGAAATAATAACACTTCATTATTCAGTGATAGGAATCAAAAGCGAATTCATTCGAATTTAACCAGACCTCATCTGAGAAGTAATTTATCAATGTAATTAATAAAGAAGAGATAATAGTAATGAAAACGAAGAGGTGACGACAAATATAATGAGAAAACCTTGCAACGTCGAATATAATTAAAGTGCTTAAAGGTACTTAGTCAAAATAGTCGTCACTATAAAACGTTAGTGACACAGTCACTGATCATCGGTAATAGAGAATATGTGAAATGATTACAAGATATTCCATCTATAATATAATATTACGTAATCGTTACCACTAATTAATAGAATTCTTCTCGAAATGTCTTAATGCACAGACACAAAATGAAAGTAGAATGAGACATATGAGCGAACTGTATTGTTTTCAATCAAATCCTCTTCAGGCTTTACTCTAATACAAATAGCTTTACATATATATATATATATATATATATATATATATATATATATATATATGATTGGAAACAATATTGTGCGCCTATATGTCCTGTTTTAATTTACATGATAGGACTTTTAAACCTCCTAAAATGAAGTAGTATAATCTAAGTAAAGTGAATCATTATAACCCAACACACACATGAGAAAAAAAATCAAACAACATTGACAGGGCATGATGTCTAGTCCTAGGTGCTGACCGAATTCTGTCGATCAATCTGCAATGTGGTCACTAACATAATTGACTTAACATCATGACGTGCTTCGACAGGTGTTAGTTCGATAGAGGCAATCGTCAGGAAGCCCTGGATCTATGTTTCGCGCTCTTAGCACTCATCAGCAAGGTGTATCTGATCGATAGGATTCGATCAGAACCCAAGACTAGATAACATGAAGTTGGTAACTCTCCAGTGACCAATCAATGTGCCTAATTCAGTCCTACAGGAGGTCAGTCGCGGCGCGAATAGCACAATGGTAACGTCTCTGACTGAAGCTTTGGGTAACGCGGGTTCGAATCTCAAATGGGATATCAGTTCCGTAGATGTAGCAGATACGCCTTGCTGACAAGTGCCAAAAAGCACAAAACCTAGATCCAAGGCTTCCTGCCAACTGCATCCATCCAACTAAGATCAAACAACAATTCACAGCAGTTATAATATTCCAAGTTCCGCAGACCTGCTGAGTGTGTGATGTTAACATCAAATGAAATAAATAATGAATGCAAAAATCAATTTAAAGTTGGCCATACACAGGCAATGAATCGACCAGGTTTTAATTTCACTTCATTAACCAACAGTTTTGTCCGGCTGGCATTTGAATTTGTGACGCGTTGCTATCGATTGATAGCACTCTCACACTGGTTGCCCAGTCAGGATTTCTCATCCAAATCTACTTAAACTAGAGAGCTGGAGCATCATATTAACACTTCAATTATGTAAGATAGCCATCGTTTGGCAGACTACTAAAGATACTGCGTGATGATTGAAATAAAGTAAGTCGAGGCAGGATTCAAACCAGCTACCACTCGGCAGTCACTGGTAACCAGATGTAAGAACTTTGCACTAATTAGTGACTCATATGCCCGGTTAACTAGTTCACTAGTTACTAGCCGGTCCTAAGCCCAGGTAAAGAGGGAAGGCTGGGCATAGGGCCAGCAACCCTACCCCAGAAAACCAATTCAACCGCTACAGAAACTTCAAAGCACAAACAAAATATAGAAAATAATAACAATATTATTTCTCGCTGGAATCAGAGAGGCGAAATGACGCCAGTTGGTGAAAGCCTTCAATAAGCCAATTCACCGATGTGTCTTCTCCCTCTCGATGAAAGCGAAAGTAAGCATGGGGACATGGAATGTCCACACCATGTCTGAACCCAGCAAGGCAGCCCAGATTGCAAACGAGGTGAAGAGGTATCACATTGAAGTGCTTGCAATATGCGAAAGCAGGTGGAATGGGAGTGGACTCTTCAAACTGTCAACTGGAGAATCAACAATATACTCCGATATTGTCAACCACACGACAACCACGAGTACACTGAGTTTTGGAATGGCTATCATGATATCCCCAACAGCATCGAAAGCTCTCATGCAGTGGGAACCAATCTCCTCCTCCAGCATCATGACAGCAAGGTTCAACTCAAAAGGAAGGAAAGTCACAATCATACAATACTACACTACGCACCTACAAATAATGCAGATGAAGAGAAGAGGAATTCTACAGACAACTGCAATCAACACTAGACAGGACACCACCTCAGTTGGCGATATCAAAATTCTAATGGGTGAGGTGACATGAATGCCAAACTGGGAGCAGACAACACAGGAAGAGAACAAACCACAGGCCTAGAAGCACTCGGTGAGGTGATGAACGAGAATGGAGAATTGTTTGCAGAATTCTGTGCATTCAACGATTTGGTGATTGCAGTGAGGCACTGTGTTCAAGCACAAGGATATCCACAAAGCAACATCGACTTCATCTCAATCTCAAGAAAGTGGAGACGCAGTCTACTTGACACAAGGTCAAGAAGAACAGCAGATGTAGGCTCACACCAATCACTATCTAGTGCAAACAACCTACCCTCAAAATCAAGTTAAAAGCCTACAACGACGTTGGTGATAGACCACAGTTCAAGTTCAACACCCAGAACAGAAACTGAACTAAAGGACAAAACTATAAAAAACATCTTCACGTCAGTCAGCTATCAGAACAAAATGGGAGACATTAAAGCAACATCCCTGAAGGAAACTGCATGGAAGAACACTGGAACTCTTTGAAAGACACGTGGAAGGAAACCTGGATAATCGTATTAGGAAGGAAGAAGAAAGAATGCAAGGAATGGATCTCGACGAGCAGGGAGAGGAGGATGGTGAAGCAGAAGATGAACCAGTGCAGTGCAAGAGTGAACAACGAAAAGAGGAACTGAGTACAATGTATAAAGCACTACACTGGACAAAGAAGTGAAGAAGAGTGCACGCAAAGACAAAAGACACTTCCACAACACACTGGCAAGTGAAGCAGAACAGGCTGCAGGTAGGCGAGAAAGAGACCTTACAACATTGCATCAAATAACCAGGTTACCTGCTGTTTGGGAAGAGATCAACACAACACACATGAAACCAATAAAAGATGATGAAGGGAATTTAATTACCAACAAAGAGAAACAAAGGAAACAATGGGCCGACCACTTCAAAAAACTCTTCAATCGACCACCACCTGCACTTCGTCCACAAATACCACCTGCAGTCCAGCCACAGAACTACAAGTGAACACAAGACCTCCGACAAAAGGAGAAGTGAAGTCATGAACAACATAAAGCTACTCAAATGTGGGAAAGCAGCAGGACCAGATGCAATCCCACCATAAGTACTGAAAACAGACGCAGAGACAACAGCGGACATGCTCACACTACACAACTATTGCAGAAAGTGTAGAAGGAAGAGAAGAGAAGGTACCTGCCTGTCGATTGGAAGAAGGGTTACCTTGTCAAACTCCCGAAGAAGGGAGACCTCAGTGTTTGCAAGAACTGGCGCAGAATCACTCTCCTGTCCACCCAGAGCAAGCAAAATATTAAGCCGCATCATCCTGGAGAGACTAAAGGATGTAATGGATTCAAAACTACGACCGGAACACACAGGCTTCAGGAAGTACAAATCATGTGTGGACCAAATTGCAACGCTACACTACGCATCATCATAGAACAGAACATAGAATGGAAATCAGCTCTCTATCTCAACTTTATCGACTTTGAGAAGGCCTTTGACAGCGTCGACCGAGAAGTAATTTGGCAGGCAGTTGCTTCAACACTACGGAATACCGCAAACCTTTATCAATGTCATTCAACAACTATAATGA